CTTTTCTGATGGATGGATGGATGGATTTTCGGGCATTCGCTCCCTCGACTCTTGATCCTAAGGGTAAAGGAAAAACACGTTCTGCCTTAGTGTGAGATGACAGTGTTTGTCGGGCCCCTGATGTTGGAGTCTTTCTCCCCCTGCCCTCATACGTCGAGGCTCATTCAGCTGAGACATAACATAAGTGTCCCAAAACACACGTGTTTACGACATGAGTTCTGCCAGCCACACAACCCAGCTTTGATTATCGCTATTCCCCTTGTATGGATTTCTGGCCTGGGGCGCTCGCGGAGCTCTCACTCTCACGTACGTGGATGTGCCCTCAAACGGCAGAGGAGGCGCTGCACACACACATGCCAATCCATCCTATCCGCCCGCCATCCACCAGCGTATCGACATGTGTCTGTCTCTGTTGTTACTTCTCACTTACGGGCCTGCACGACGGGCTTGACGGACTGCGCCTTGCAGACGGGCTTCTCGTCGTAAGACTCGCGGTAGCTCGACAGGGCTTCGAACTTTGCCGGACTGCACAACACACAGACGGAGGGAGAGGCAGAGGAAGAGGGAGAGGGAGAGACAGCAGTCGCCTTGGCTGGCTGCCTCGATAAATGCTCGTCGTCTCACTTGGGTGTCCACTCCATCTTCTCGGCGTGGGGTTTGTCGGGCAGCGCCTCGCGATCGAAGTCATTCTGACACGACAGACACCATCACAGAGTCACGGCAATGCAGGTGCATGGCTCCATGGTGATTTCTTTTCTCTCCCTCTCTCTCTCTCTCTCTCTCTCTGTGTGTGTGTGTGTGTGTGACCTTGTATGTGGAGGCGCCCTGGAAGGGCAGAGACACGGGCTCGTTGACCGCCTGAGGGCGCCTGGGAGGGGGCAGCTCCCACTGCTGATAGTCAGCTCTGAACACACGCACACACCCATGCAGCCAGCGCATGAGACACCTTCCTCGGCCTACTAACTTGTGTGTGGAGGTGCCCTCGAACTTGAGCAGCGCGTAAGGCCTGGGCGGCTGCACGACTGCCTGTGTCCTCGGCACCTCCTTGTGGGTGTACTCCTGCTTGTACATTGACGTCCCTGCACCCAGGCTTCGAGTATCGGGAGGCACTGGCGGCGTTGGCAGATGGTCCATCGGGCACTTGGGTCGCCGGGCCATCTCATGCTGCTTGAAGGACGTTCGATACGTTGACCTGCACTCAGCAGATGATGGCATGCATGCAGCCGCAATCGATAGAGGCACATGCTATGCTGCACGCTCAGTCATACCCGAAGTCACGGTTGTCGGGCTGTGCGATCCTTGCGCCTCGGGGCATCGGCACCTGACGCTCCAGCTCCCACTGCTTGTACGTCTCGCCATAAGTAGGCCCGCTCTCATGGTAGGGGCATGCCGGCAATGGGAAAGGCATCTGGGCGGGATTGGGTGCGGGCGGGGCTGGCGGGGGTGCGGTCTCCTCTACGTGTTGTATTTGGAAGCTCGAGGACGTGCACTCCATGTCGGCACGCTTCAGTCGCTCCACACATTGCTGAATGAACCAAAGGACAGACAAACAGGCGTCGGCCGCTGTGCTGCATGTAGAGGCATATTCATTCAGGATATTACCTCCCTCCTGGCCCTCTCGTCCTGCAGGATGCTGTGAACTTTGGTCAGGTTGGCCGAGGCCTCCTCAAGAGTGGACGCCAACGCCTGACAGCATGTGGGCGTCGATGTGATGTGCACCGCTGGTCGGTGGGTCTCTCTGTGCCTTCTTTGCCCACCTACCTACCTTCCTTTGTCTGATGTTCTCGAGGTTCTGTTCCTCGAGCTTCGTAATGGCGGCACGCAGGCTGCTCAGCCCATGCACAAACAGATAGGCACCGTGCATCCATGTCGTGTCATGTCTCAGCTTATGCACCGATCGGCCTCTTCCTGCGCCGTCTTGCGCTGTCGTATTTCCTCGTCGCATGCCGCCTCAAGCCCTGCCTGCACACCACGGCGAATCTGGCTCAGCGTGGCCGAGAACTCAGACTGCTTCCGCTCCTCAGCCTCACGGATCTGGCATCCATCGGTGCACACACAGTTTATGGATGTGCGTGCTCATGTGTGCTTTCAGCAGTTACACCCCCACAACATACCTTCTCCTTGACTTGGAGGTCGAATCGGTCCTTAAGCATGCGAACCGCAGACTGATGCTGAGAGTGGAGACTCGTCAAGCGGTCCTGTTACAGTCGCGACATGACATCCACGCGTCTGTCTCTGGAAGCTGCTCATATGTCTTGCCTGTAGGATGGATTGGTGCTTTTCGAGCGGGATTTGGTCCTTGCGCGCCTCGGCGAGCGCCAGCTGCTTCATCAGATGCTCGTGCTCGCGAGCCTTGGCCTGGTTCTCGGCCTCCAACACATGAACGCGGCGCTCCAGCTCGATCTTGCTCTGATACCGACACAGAGAAAAGGCGAGAAATCTGTGCATCATCAGAGAGTGAATCGGTGTGTCTGACTGACCCACCTTGATTTGTATGAGTAGATTCTCCCGCTCCTGTTCACTGACGACCAACTGGTTCTTGAGCGTGCTGATCTCCGTCTGTATGGTACACGACAGCCATGGCATGCAGGTGGTTCAGCCTCACTGACTGACCATGGAGTTGATCCTATCCTTCTTGTACTGGACAAGCCGAGTCTGCGCAAACGCAGCCCGGCATTCACATTCCACACATCCACCTGTGGCTTTGCGCGTGTGTGTGTATGGTAGGTACCTTAGCGGCCTTGTTCTCACGCTCCACCCGCTGGATGTACCTGTACACATAATACAAACCGCTTGGGTGAGGTGCCTTAGGTGTGGATTGGATGAGTGACTTACCGCTCGCTCGACTTTCTCCCCGGCTTCGACATGTTTCTGTCTGATTTCCAGCCTGTCCTTCTCCGACTGCTCGAGGGCGCCCTGCACCTCCCTCACTCGCTGCTGGGTGGCGCCGAGATCGCGAACCCTCCACTCATACCTGAGGGGCCGAGACAGGCAGGACACGCATCACGACCCACGTATTTGCAGGTAGATCATCCTCGTTCACAAGCTCTTGTAGTTTTGACACTCGCTGCGAAGGTTCTCGAGATCCGCACGCTGACACACAGGAAGGCGACAGGACAGATGCCGTGATTGTTGTGCATGACATGGCCGCGGTGGCGCCTGAGAACCTGAGCAGCGCAGACTTGCTGCAGTGACTGCAACTCAGTCACGAGCTCCTGGAACTGCTCTGCCGATGGGGCGGGTCGAGCACCGGGACTCACTGTACCACCCTATGGACGCACACAAGGAGGAGAGCCTTCCGTCCATCGTCATTGATTGGATGGTGAGTGGCTGTGCTGACTAACCGCGTCAGTAGCCTTGTTTCTCTCGGCTTCCTGGATCTTTGCATTGGCCATGTCCTGCACACGCACAATCAGACACCCTTCATCAGTGGACCTCTGTTGGTCGAGGAACACGCAGGCACTGACCAGCTCCCGCTGTTGTTTGCCGATAGTGGTGCGGAGGACGTGCTCGAGTTTGAACCACTCATCGGCCGCCTTGGCAGCCGCCGCATACTTGTCAGCCAGCAGCTTGGTCTACACGCAGCACAACACAACACATCACATCGATGTGCATGTGTGCGCCTATAGATGTGTGCCTCACTCAGTCTCTCACTGACCTTGTTTTCAACCGCAGCTGCAAGATGCGACCTCAGCTGGGCTATCGTCTTCCCTTGGTGGTCGTACATGTCTTTGATGGCATCGTATCGGTTCTTGACGTCGTCGTATTTCCGCATGTAGTAGCGCGCCGTGCTCTCGCCCGTATATATGAGGCGGTCGTCTGCGTCGAAATCATCGTCATCGCTATCCTGCAGACAACACAGCACACATACGCAGAGAGAGAGAGAGAGGTCCAGTCGATCTCTTTCCCTCAGTCCTGTGTGTGCGTCACAGTGCGGCGCACCTGTCTGTCCGTGTCCTGCCGTTTGTGTGTGGTGGGGGCTGCCACTGCGGCCATATCGCGGCAACACTCGTCATCACCGTCACTCGCACTGCTGGCACTGCTGCTGCCTCCCTTACCTGCAGCATCAAGACCGAGCGCTGCTGCTGCGGCTGCTGCCACTTGGTCTGGCGGGTAGTTGCGATCACGCTCCTGAGAGCACCACAACACACACACACACACACTCACGACTGTGTGGATGTGAGGATGAGTGACGGTCTGTATGCCTACCTCGTGGACCTTCTTCAGGTTGAGCTTGGGAAGGGCTGGCGGGGGCAGCGAGGGGCTCCGCTGGTGGCGGTTGTGGTTCATCATCGGGGTGTGCTTCATCATCGGGTTGTGCTTCTGGGAGAGGAGAGGAAACCTGTGGGCCTCTGGGGGGAGACTGCGAGCTTTCTTGATCTCGACCCAAGGACGATTGATCTCGACCGAAGGACAAGATCTGGCATGCAGCGTGTTACCGATTTGCACTGATGGATGGCTCATTTCACTGGTATGCATTGATGTCGATGATGTCAATCCCAGCCGAGCTGAGCCTTTGCACTGCACACCACAGACATATAGTGCCCGCTCACGCAAGTCGACAGATCTACCCTCCCTCCCGTCTACTGTACGACCATCCATCCATCCATCC